TAAAATTTATTTTATTTTTTTGTGTTTTTGAGACAGGGTCTCCCTGTAGTCCCAGCAGACCTGATCTCACTATGTGGACCAGGCTGGCCTTGAACTCGCAAAGATCTGCCTGCCTCTGCCTCCCAAGTGGTAGGACTAAAGGCTGAGCCATCACACCCGGTGGTTTACAGAATTTATAAGCTGCTCATGTTACCCTTAAGACCTACTAGGTTTTAATTTCTAGAAAATCTCAGGGAATGTGAAAAAAAAATTTGGGGGCTAAGGCTGGAATTATCTATTCTTGTTTTCCTTAAAACTGGCATCAGTGACCACTTAATGACAGCGGAATGAAAGTTATACCTTCCAAAACCTAGCTATTATTAAAATGCCATAATAACTAGTATTTAAGTAAAGTTGTTTGTTGTTGAAACTCTGGTAAAAGGAAGGCCCCAGCAGCATCCTTGAGAAAAAAAAATGTAGCATAAAAAGAAACTGGTAGTGTTGGAGAGATGGCTCAGTGGTTAAGAGCACTGGCTGCTCTTGCAGAGGACCAGGGTTTGAATCCCAGCACCCCCATGAAGGCTAACAAGCATCTACAACTCTAGTTCCAGAGGATCCGACACCCTCTTCTGACCTCCGTGGGCATTACATGACATGGGTACACTTACATACATGCAGGCATTACACATAAAATAAAAGGAAAGACACTGGTCAATAGAGGATTGTGAAATGGAATGTTGATGAGAAAATGAAATATGCATACATACAGTTGACCTGGCTCTGCTTAGCTCTTTTCCTTATGTACCCTGACCTTGTAGGTTATGTCATGTTCTGAGTAAAATTGTTTCACACTGGAAGCTGGTGAGATGGCTCAGGGGTTAAGAGCTCTTACTGCTTTTCCAGAGGACCAGAGTTTGGTTCTCATTCTCAGCAGCCATAGAGTACTCAAAATCACCTATAATTCCAGCTCTAGGGGATCTGACATACTCTGCTGGCCCCTGTAGGCACAATACTCACATGCACAAACCCACACTCACACATACACACAATTTAAAAATTAAAATAAAATCCTGGGGCTAGAGAGATGGCTCAGTGGTTAAGAGAGCAGTGGCTGCTCTTGCAGAGGACCCAGGTTCAGATCCCAGCATCCATATGACAGCTAACAACTAGCTCTAACTCTAGTTCCATGGCATCTGGACACCGTCTTCTGACCTCCATGGACATTGCATGACACAGGTCCACTTACATGCAGGCAATACACTCAGACACATAAAATAAAAATAATAAAAGATTTAAAAAATCAAAATCTTAACAAAGATTTTACAGTCAGGTGTGGTTCCCCATATCTTTAATCCCAGCCCCAAGGAAGCAGAGGCAGGAGAATCTTTGTGAGATTTAGGCCAGCCTGGTCTATAGAGTGAGTTCTAGGTCAGGTGGGACTACTGGGAGATCCTGTCTCAAAAAAAAAAAAATGCTTTTACAAATACTATTTGTGCTGGGCGTGGTAGCCCCACGCCTTTAATCACAGCACTTGGGAGGCAATGGCAGGTGGATCTCTGAGTTAAAGGCCAACCTGGTCTACATAGAGTGTTCAGGACAGCTAGCTGGGGCCACAGGAAGACCCTGTCTCAAAAAGAACAAAAACAAAACAAATACCGTTTGTGTAATTATATGCAATTTACAGCTATTTTTTTCTTAAAAAACTGATACAATGCCAACCCCCTATTTATTTATTTATTTATTTATTTATTTATTATTTTATAGTCTTTTGTAGCCCCAGTTGGCCTGGACCTCCCTATGTAGACCAGACTGGCCTTGAACTCACAGAGATCTGCCTGCCTCTGCATGAACCGTCATGCCCAGCTTCAAGTCGCCTTTTTTAATGTAATATAAATCTTGCAAATTTGAGTTCCTAATTTCTAAATTACTAGCTGGGTTTCTAAATGTATATGTTGTTCATTCACTGTAACATTACAAAGTAATCTGTATTGTTGGTGATTGCACTGAGAGCTTGCCATTGTTTAGTACTGTTTGATTCTACATTTACTCAATAGTACCATATGCTATCATCACTAGACCAGAGTAAAGCATCTGACAAGCAGAGACTTCCAAATAGGAGTCAAAATAAACAATGGAAAATGAAGCTGCTGTAAAGTTTTGTGGACAGCAGTTGTAAAATGCTTTTTGAAAATTGTACATGGTAAGTGGGAAAGTAGGTCACACTTCATTTTTCATAAAGTTCTTTTTGTACTCAACTTTCAGACATTTGCTACTCAGTGATCATATAAGTAGTGTGGGAGTAATTAAACAGTTTAAACAATTAAACAATTTTGTGTTTCTGTTTCCTGTAAATAATGGGAATTCTTTAAACAAATTACAGTTTTACATTTTTGGTAGTTTCTTTTTTTTAACTTTGTTTTATGTGTGTGTCATGCAAATGTATGTAAGTGCGCCCCTGTCATGCAGTGTCTGTGGAGGCCAGAAGAGGGTGTTGGATCCCCTGGAATTACAGATGATTGTTAACTGCTGTGTGGGTGCTGGGATTCAAACCCACCCAGGTCATTTGCAAGAGCAACTAGTGCTCTTAACTGCTGAGTCGTCTCTCTAACCCTTCTGGTAATTTCTTTTAGTAAAAGGACTAAGACACAAACATGATAATGCTATAATTTTTATTTATTCTTTTCATAAAAATTTTATTTATTATTTTTACTTTATGTGTATGAGTGTTTTGCCTGCATGTATGTAAGCCCACCTGTGTTGGGCAATGCCCATGCAGGTCGGAAGAGGGCATTGGATTCCCTGGAACTGGAGTTATGGATGGTTGTTAGTCACTATGTGGTTCATGGGAACTGAACCTGGGTCCTCTGTAAGAGCAGCCAGTGCTTTAACTGCTGAGCCATCTCTCCACCTGATTTTTTTTTTTTTTTTTTTTTTTTTTTTTTTTTTTTGTCTTTTTGAGACAGGGTCTCCTTGTGGCCCCAGCTGGCCTGGAACTTGCTGTGTAGACCAGGCTGGCCTCCAACTCACAGAGATTCACTTGCCTCTGACACCTGAGTGCAGGAATTAAAGTATATGCTACCATGCCCAGCCTCAGAGCTGGTTTTTAAAAAAATGCAATTGAAGCACGTTTTTTTTTTTTTTTTTTTTTCTGGCCTTAAGTCAGAATCCTCCTTACCTCAGCCTATTGAGTAACTAGAATTAAGGTGCATACTATCATACTCAGTGGGAAACACCTTAAAATTGGGTGATAGTGTGAGCTGCCTCACATCTTGACCTTCATTTAAATGATCAAGTATTTATTATTTACTCTAAAAACTCATTGAAGGGGCCTGGAGAGATGGCTCAGTAGTTAAGAGGACTGACTGCCCTAGCAGAGGACCTGGGTTTGGTTCCCAGCACCTACATTTCAACTAACAACTGTCCATAACTCCAGTTCTAGGGGATCCAACACTCTCTTCCTACCTCCATGGGCATTGAACAACAGAGGTGCACTTAGACACATACAAGCAATACACTTAGACACATAAAACTTCAAAAAAGTAATAAATATTTAAAAAAACTCATTGGAGGAGCCTTAAGACTTTCAGGTAAAATAAGTGTTATAACTGAGTATTGAATATGGTTCAGACTATCCTAATATTTGAGAATAAAACCATTTTAAATGGATTGTGCCATTGTTTTTAATAAGATTAGACATGGAAATTCATATGGGGAGGCTTTTCATTATTTAGGATCTTTTTAAAAAATTTGTATGAGTGTTATGCATGCATGTGTATAAGTGCATCCATGTCATGCAGTGCCTGTGGAGGACAGAAGAGGGCGCCAGATCCCCTGGAGCTGGAGTTACAGATGGTTGTTAGCTGCCATGTGGGTGCTGGGAAACCAAACCTAAGATATCTGCAAGAGCAGCCAGTGCTCTTAACCACTGAGCCAGTTTCTCTAGCCCCCATTATTTAGGATCTCCACTTAGACTATATTGTTTTCTCACTGTACTCAAAAAGAAGTAGAAGCACAACACCTTAATATCTTACTTGATGTGGCTTAACTATCTCTCTTTACTTTGACCTGGTATATCATTTGTAAGTCATTCGTTGCCTTCATTATACTGTATTACTGACCTTTCATAGAAGATTAATGGCCATTGTCTCACTTAAGCCCCTTTGACTGCTTTTTCTATTAAAACCATTAAAGAGTGTGTGTGTGTGTGTGTGTGTGTGTGTGTGTGTGTGTGTACACTACATAGTAATTTCAGTCAATGACAGGGTCACATGTACAACTTGGTTCTGTAAGATTATATCACCTAATGGCATTGTAGTCATTTGGTTTATGGTGTTTACCCAAAAACATTTTCCAGATATATCCTTGTCCTTGTCCTTATATAACATGTTCATTTAGTGATGGAGATATGCATTGCTGGACATTTTTGTTGTTCAAACATCAATTACACTTATACAAACCCAGACGGTATATAGGTCAAGTAGTTGATATGTCTACTGATACAGTGAAGGCAAACATGAAATGCATGAGGTGTAGGCGTCTGCTGCAAGGTAATATGGCATGCTATTATGCAGTGAACTTTAAAATTAGGTCTATACTCTAAAATAATAAATATAGACAAAAGACCAGTAATACAGTCATTTACCATCGAGGAGTATTCTGTTCCTAACTACGTGCAGTACTTTTATATGACTGACAGTACATTAGTGTTAGCCATACTAGCATCACTGCAAACATGCACGTAGTATATTGTGCTGAGCACTAAGGCAGCTCAGTGTCACTAGGTGATAGGAAGTTGTACTTCCATTATAATTTTATGGAACCACCATTGTACATATGACCCTCATTAACAAAAGCAACATGTGACTGCTTATAATATAAGAAAGATTATTTAAGATAGGTATTGGGCTAGGGAGACTGTTCAGTCAGTGTAACATGCTTGCTGCACAAGCTTGAGGACATGGGCTTGATCCTCAGAATCAATGTAAAAAGTTGTATGTATTGGCATGTTCTTGTCATTCCAGTATTGGAGAGGCAGAGATAGGTGGATCCCTGGGGCTCACTGGCAAGCCAGCCTATCCTACTCAGCGAGTGCCAGGCCGGGGAGAGACCCTGCCCCAAAGAACAAGGTAGATGGCGTCTGAAGAATGGTATACCCAAGGTTGATCTTTAGTTTACACGGGCATGTGCACATTACTTACATGTTTGCTCCCACACACACATCACATACATACACACAAAAGATATCTCAAAAAACAAAACAAAAAAACCAACGTGAGTTTAATGAACAGTGAGTGGTAACAGTTTTGTCTTGAGTCTCAGAATTTTTGATAGATATTTCTTTTTTTAATTTTATTATTTTAATTTTATGTGTTTGAGTGTATTGCCTGCATGTACGTGAGTGTACCTGTGTCATACAGTGCTGCAGAGGTCAGAAGAGGGCAGAGGTCAGAAGAGGGCTTCGGATTCCCCTGGAACTGGAGTTAAGGACGGTTCGTAGCTGCCATGTGGGTGCTAGGAATTGAACCAGGGTCCTCTGCAAGAGCAGTCAGTGCTCTTAACCGCTGAGCCATCTCTCCAGCCCTGATATTTCTTTTTTTTAAAAAAAATTATTATTTTTATTTTATGTTTATGTGTGTATTGCTTCCATGTATTTAAGTGCACCTATGTTGTACAGTGCCCGGGATTCAGACCTGGGTTTTCTGTAAGAACAGCCAGTGTTCTTAACCGCTGAGCCATCTCTAGCCCCATCAGATTTTTTTGGTAGTTATTTCTATTACAACATTTAAGCTTTTTTGTTTTGTTTTTATTTTTGTTCTTTTTGAGTGAGACAGGGTCTCCATGCGGCCCCAGTTGGCCTGGACCTCACTATGTAGACCAAGCTGACCTCGTTCTCACAGAGATCTGCCTGCCTCTGCTTCCTGTGTGCTGGGATTAATGGTGTCTGCTACCATACCCGGCAGCATTTAAGCTTTGATTGTAATGAGGTGTCAGTGCTGTGACTACTTTGATAAATATGGACCTGATTTTGTGGTATGTAAACATGATTATGAAGGTTATGAAGGACAAGACTTTACTAATAAGCAACCTGGACTATATGAAATCTCTTAAATTTTTCTTTAGTATTTATTTGCCCTACAAGCAAAACTTATTTATTGTAGAAAAATTAGAAGTTAACACAAAACCATCTGTATTCCTACCACTGGATCGATTGAATTCTGATATTTCTGTATGTTGGTTGTTTCAGAAATATGGCTACACACATCTTTCTGCAGGAGAGCTTCTTCGTGATGAAAGGAAGAACCCAGCTTCACAATATGGTGAACTTATTGAAAAGTACATTAAAGAAGGAAAGATTGTGCCAGTTGAGATAACCATCAGTTTATTAAAGAGGGTAAGGAACATGAATACCAACCTGTTTAAACCACCACAGACATAAGAAACTAAATCTTCTTTCATTTGAGTAGTGAAAAGTAAATCTGAATATTGAATTTCTGCTTGTGGAAGGTAGATGTGGTCTTTGGGAATGGCAGAGGTGGAAACTGCTTTCACTGAAGAAACTGAACAGCAGCAAGGATTTTCTGCTTTGTCTAAAATCAGCTATAGCTCAGCCATATGCCTATAGGTGCATCCAATATATGTATAGTTATACTTCTTTTTGTGGTTTTTTTTTTTTTCTTTTTTAAAACAAGGTCTCATATAGTACAGGCTGGCCTCAAAGTTACATAATCAAGAATGGTCTTAAACTCCTGATCCTCTGTCTCCACCTTCAGAGTATTAGGATTATAGGTATGTGCCACCATGCTTGACTATGTACACTTGACCCTCCCTTCCTAGCATTCAGTTACTCTTTCTTCCATTTCTTTTATTTCTCCTCTTCCCTCCTTTCTGTTTTCTTGTAAACCTTCCCTATTCTCTCTCTCCTTCCTTCTTTATCTCCTTCTCAATGTCCCTCATTGATACTCTCAGTTTTGAAGTCTCCTTTTTTTCTGATGACTATATCACCATTTCATCATGACATCTAAAAAATAGATCTTAATTGGTAATGCCTTATTGTATACCCCTAAGACTAGTCTGTAATAGGTATTTTGACATATAAGAACTACTCAAAGGGAACTGCAGTGTTGGGGACAAGAAGAAATAAGTGAAGCCAGTAGATGAGACCTGGATAAACATCTGGGTATAGCTAGAGACACTTGGAGATAGAATGAGTGGCTCATATACACCGCCTTGCCTCTCATCTCAGAGTCTGGAGTAACTTGCCTCCGTTCCAGAGTAGATAAATTGTGCCTTCCTGTTCTTTGGATACTGCCTTCTGCATTACAGGTGAACATTAGGAAAGAGTAGTTTCTCCATTCTTTTACTTTTCTGCCCTTAGTAGTCAGGGTCTATTTTCACCTCCATTGAAACTGCTTTTTTGTTTGTAGTACTGGGGATTGAAGCTAGGACCTCAAATATGCTAGGCAAGTACTTTATCACTGAGCCGTGTCCTTGGCCTTTTTTATAGTTTATACTAATTTTGAGACAGGGTCTCACTAAGTTGCCCAGTTGGCTTTGAACTCTGTAGTCCAGATGGGACTTGAGCTTGCAATCCTCCTGCCTGAGTTATGAGTCTGTGTTACTAGGCCTTGGGAAACTTCTTGCATGTTACCAATGATCTTTTCTGTGAAGCCCAGGGGATACTTTTAGCCTTTATTTTTCCTGTAATATTTAACTCTAATCAATGTCTTTTTGAAACTAATTCCAATTGTTTTTTGTAACATCATTTCTGTTAGTTAGTTCTCTTCCAGGAACTGCTGTTCTTCAGCCTTGCTGTATTAGTTACTTTTGGTTGCTGTGATAAACCACCATCACCGAGGCAACTTAAAAAAGGAAGAGTTTATTTGGTTTACAGTTCCAGAGGGATAAGAGTCCATCATGATGGGAAGGCATGGCAGGAGGACACCAGAGCAGAAAGCTGAGCCCTCACATCTTCATATAGGCACAGGAAGCAGAGAAGGGAAGCTTGAAGTGGGGCACAGCTATGAATTCACAAAGCTCTTCTCCCAGTGACGTGCTTCCTCCAGGAAGGCCACACCTCCTAAAGGTTCCATGACCCTCAAACAGTACCACTAACTGACAAAGTATTCAAATACTTGGAGCCAGGGGCTGGAGAGATGGCTCAGCAGTTAAAAACACTGGTTGTTCTTGCAGAAGTCCCAAGTTCAAATCCCAGCACTCACATGGCAGCTAACAACTGTCCGTAACTCCAGTTCCAGGGGATTCTGACAGCTTCTGTCCTCCGCAGGCATTGTACAACATGGGTGTACTTACCTACACATAGGCAATACACACATACACATAAAATAAAAATAATAAATAAAAAATTTATAAAAACAAAAAAATTGGAGCCTAAGGAGGACATTTTCATTCAAGTGTGGTGGGTTTTTTTTCCTTCATTAGCAAGTTTAAAAAAAATTCTTTTTTTATTTAAAAAATGTATTTCTGGAGGCCAGGCGTGGTGGCGCATGTCTTTAATCCTAGCACTTGGGAGGCAGAGGCAGGCAGATGTCTGTGAGTTCAAGGCCAGCCTGGTCTACATAGTGAGTTCCAGGTCAGCTGGGGCTCAAAAAGAGCAAAAAAAAAAAAAAAAATTATTTCTTATGTATATGCATGTGTTGCCTACATATATAAGTGCCTCCATGTCCTGTAGTGCCCACAGAGATCAGAAGAGGGCATCATATCCCCTGGAACTGGAGTTACTGATGGTCGTTAATGACCATGTGGGTACTGGGATTTGAATCTAGGTTCTCTGCAAGAGCAGCCAGTGCATTTAACTGCTGAGCCATTTCTCCAGCCCCATTTGCAAGGTTTGTAAACCACTGTTCGTCTTAGAGTTTATGTCTGGTTCTCTTCACCTCTCATTTTTTTTTAAAAATAATTAAAATGTTTTTAATGAAGGATGGGTTTGTTTTGGTCTTCACCTCTCATTTTATATATTCCTTGATGGGTTTGTTTCAGCCATGCCCAGTGTTTTCACTAGGACAATGATGCTGACCTCTGTATCTCTGCACAGATCTTTGTTCTGAGTTTCAGACATGTTTCTAACTACCAGATCTCTATCTGAATTTCTCATATATGTCTCCAAGTCAACATGCCAGAGGTTAATGTATCATCTAGAATGTGATGTTCCTATCTTTTCTATCTTTTTCCTCACTTTCCTAAATCCATTCAGTGAGAGGATCTTTCCATCCACTTCTGTTCATTTCTTCTATATCACAACCATCACTTTAACCTTTTTTTTTTTTTTTTTTTGGTCTTTTTGAGACAGGGTCTCCTTGTAGCCCCAGCTGCCCAGCTGTCCTGGAACTCACCATGTAGACCAGGCTGGCCTCGAACTCAGATCCACCTGCCTCTGCCTCCTGAGTGCTGGGATTAAAGGCGTGCGCCACCACGCCCGGCCACTTTAATCTTTTAACCTGCTCTCATTCCCATCTTATCTCCCACCATTCTCTATAAATCCTACAATTTCAGTTGTACCAGCTTGCTTCAGATTCATCAAAGCTGTCAGGTTTTCTCGTTTCCAACCATTATACACCTACTCCCCACAAAAGACGCTGATCCTTATTGGCTTACTATTTCATTATTTAGGAGGTGACTGCCAACTCATCGGTCAGGCTTTCTCTGACAGTTTGTTTCTCAGGCAGTGTCTGCTTACTTTATTTTTATTATTTTTATTTTATGTGTATGAGTGCATTGCCTGCATGTATGTGAGTGCACCCGTGTTTTGCAATGCTGAGGAGGTCAGAAGAGGGCTTTGGATTCCCCTGGAACTGGAGTTAGGGATGGTTCATAGCTGCCGTGTAGGTGCTGGAAATCAAACCCGGTTCCTCTGCAAGAGCAGTGAGTGCTCTTAACTGCTGACTCATCTCTCCAGCCCCTGCTTACTTTTTATAATAGCATCTTTTGCTATCCTAGAACCTAGCACATTATGGGTAGTTGTCACACATTAAACTGTGAACCCTTCAGGGGCAAGAGCAATGAACTTACTCTTTATGTTCCCTGATGAATTCTCAGATGAATGTATATATATTGAGTTAATGTATTTGGTGTGCCTTCTTCAGATATTTTCCACTACTGTAACTGAGGTAGAAATGCTATAGCAGGAACTTAAAACCATTTCATAAAAGTTGTGTGAGCTGGGCATGGTGGTGCACGCCTTTAATCCCAGCACTCGGGAGGCAGAGGCAGGCAGATCTTTGTGAGTTCGAGGCGAGCCTGGTCTACATAGTGAGTTCCAGGATAGCGGGGGCTGCAGGGAAACCCTGTCTCAAAAAAAAAAAAAAAAAAAAAAAAGTTGTGTGGCTATTAGAGGAGCCGGGCGATGAGATAGCCGCCATCGTTCTTCTTGAGAAGACAGGATTTTTTTGTCTTTTTGAGACAGGGTCTCCATGTAGCCCCAGCTGTCCTGGAACTCACTAGGTAGACCAGGCTGGCTTCAAACTCACAGAGATCCACCTGCCTCTGTTTTCCAAGTGCTGGGATTAAAGGTGCACCATCAAGCCCTGCGGAACCAGGAGATTTTAAGCATGGAGGGTAATAACTGTCAGTTTGCTTTGGACTAAAGGCTCCCCTAAAGTTTGTCAGAGATGTGCATATGTGCTTATCCTGTGGTGAATGGAGGTGCCACGGATTTAGAAAGTAGAGACCTTTTCTCCTGTTTGTATTCTCCTATATTCATGTAAGTTCATGTTTTGGAAAAGGATGATGAAATGTGTTCTTGCAATCTTTCTGAATATGTTATTCCTTTTGCTACCTGTGTTTTGGGGCAGTCAATGCAATTTAGGTAAAACTAGTTTCTGTTTTTTATTTTTATTTTTTCAAGTATTGAACCCTACATTAATAATGCTAACAATCATTCAAGCTTAGTAATGCAGGCTTGTTATGCTAGCTACTCAGAAAGCCAAAGCCAGGAAACTCAAGATCAAGGCCTGTTTGGGCTATAGAATATGATTAAGACCAATTTGAGCAACTTAGACTGTCTCAAAAATTTTTTTAAGTGTAAAAATGACTGGGAATGTTGCTTAGTAATAGAGTGCTTTCCTATCATGTGTGATCACTAGTACTACTAAATAAATAAGTAATAATGTTAGCAATGTTTAGCAATCTTTGCATTTGTATTTGTATTTGAATTCTAGTAAATTTGAGCATCTATAAAAGTAGAATACTTTCAGCAGGGTGTGGGTGCTGCACACCTACCTAGCTCTTGAGAGGCTCTGGCAGAAAAGTCTCGAGTTGGAAGCCAGCCTAAGTTTACATAGTGAGTCCCTGTTGTAAACACACACACAAAACCAAAGTATTGTCTTTCATAGCAGAATGACTTAGAGATAGGAGGCCTCTAGATGCTGGAGCAAAAATCTGGGTTAATGGTTATTTTCGTCTAATTTGTAACTGTGTAATTATATCAAGAGGTAATACTGCTGTGCTGGTCAGCAGTCACTGGTATAAAATTTCAACCACAAGGGTTCATACACCTTTGATCCGCTCATAGGGATGGTGGATGGCAGTGATGAGAAGCACAAAGTGCAGCAGACTGCTCACTTCATGGCCTGGAAGCAAATGAGAGACGAGAGAGGGATCCCATAGCCCCCAACGACCCAAAGACTTCCTGTGAGCCCACTCTTCTTAAGGTCTCCCAGTATGCCACCCTGGAGATCAGGCTTTTAACACTTAGTCTTTGGAGGACATTCAGTATCTACACCCAGATACGTTTTATAAAATATGGAAACTACAGGAGAAGGGAAGAGCAAGGGAGGGAGAGAGGAGGAGGGGTGGGAGGGAAGAGGGATAAGGGAGAGATACCCATAGTCTCTCTAGCTGAGGCAAACATTTTAACAAACTGGCTCATTTCTATGGGTTTTCTGTGTACCCTTCACTCTTGTAGTTTAGGAATAATAGCAAGTAGCCATGTGTCCCATATCATGCTTAAGAAATTGTACTTTCTTAATGTAGTATTGATCCTAAATCTTTTTCTTTTAGGAAATGGATCAAACAATGGCTGCCAATGCTCAGAAGAATAAATTCTTGATTGATGGGTTTCCAAGAAATCAAGACAACCTTCAAGGTTGGAACAAGACCATGGATGGGAAGGCAGATGTATCTTTTGTTCTGTTTTTTGACTGTAATAATGAGGTAATGAATATCTTCATCTGCCTACATGGCCTTTAAGCAACTGAAAGTCAACTGTTAGAGAAAAACAGTGATTTTTGTTTTCTTTACTTTTATTTATATTTTCTATTGGCAGCACTATGTGTGTGTGTGTGTGTGTGTGTGTGTGTATAAATTTAGTGAGTTAGTAGATTGGGTTGCTAATAGAGTATTAACAGCTATTTGGCATCAGCAACCTTGTGGCCCTAAAGTTTGCTTTATTTTCAAAATAACAATAATTTTTTTTAAATAATTGACTTGCACAATAATGTTAGGTGATAAAACTGAACTTCTAAAGTATGTATTATTTTCAATAGTATGTTTACTAGAAAAGACACATGTCTGGAAAGGTGGAAAGCTTAATTGTTTTTTTTAAATTAGATGAATTATTCTTCTAAGAATAAAATGATATTGAAAATAGGAGGAAAATTTTTTTTTTCCTGACACTTCTAATAATACAACCAGTCATACTTTTGAATAACTAAATGAATTTCTCAGAACCATTTAATTAAGAGGCCTGACTCTGTTAGACATCCTCTGTGATAAAAGTTTCATTAAATCAATGCCAACAGTCTGAAAGAATAAGAATCTGAAGCGGTGCCTGGAAGGAAGTTGGCTGTTCTTAGGTTGAATTGTAAATGTGCCTCTGTGGAGACTTGCTACAGCCTTTGAGTTGTTTTAAAATGTAATTCTCTTCCCAACCCTTAAAAATATGTTTTTACTTAATCTTCAAAGTTAACTTTAGAATGTTACCACAGCTTTATAACTAAGGAATGTTTATTTATGATTAACAAGAGATGCTTTATTCAAATATGTTGACTCGAAAATATTTGGATATTTATGAAATTATTGTAAAGTAAGCAAAAATGGTACAAAGTTGGAGGCATGTAATTCATACTTAATAAGTTAATAATATATTTGAGATGAAACTATACCCACACAGATCTTCTTTTTATTGCGGTTTGAAAAAAAGTACAACAGGAAAAACTGAGTCATGAATGAATTCTTATTATGCTCTGTTCTTATTTAACCTAGTTTATATAAATTGAACCACATGTTTAAATTTAAAAAGATTTTGCATGTTAATGAGTTAGACATATTACGTTTAATATAGATTTTTTTTTGTTTTAGTCTCTTCAAACTTTTCTTTTTAGGTTCTTTCACATAACTCTTTACTTTTGTCTCTTTAGATCTGTATTGAGCGATGTCTTGAGCGGGGAAAGAGCAGTGGCAGGAGTGATGACAACAGAGAGAGCTTGGAGAAGAGGTACTTCTCAGTTTTCACACCAACCACTTTGTTCCTGCTTCAGAAATTGAGTGGCAGCTTAAATTGCTGTTCCATTTTGGTCTGGAAAGAGGACATGTCATGCTCACAGAGATGTGCAAAGAGATACCAAATTTGCAGGCTTATGTAAAGAGATGACACATTTGCATCAGACCTTTTGTTTGTGGAAGGGGGAGGATGGATACCTAGAACCTTGAAGTACTTGCTTTTTTTGCAGAATTCAGACTTATCTCCAGTCAACAAAACCAATTATTGACTTATATGAAGAAATGGGGAAAGTCAAGAAAATAGATGCTTCTAAGTCTGTTGATGAAGTAAGTGTCTTGTCTTTGCAAATTAAGGTCAAATGAAAATGTGGTCATTTCTTTGGTGTAGGCATGAGAGAAAAAAATCTATGGCAGATAGTATTTCTTCAAAACATTTGAGACTAAGTGTGAAATTACATTGTTGGGATTTTTTTGCTTTGCTTTGTTTTGTTTTGTTTTGTTTTTCCTTTTTGAAAACTTCTACAATGGGTTTTACAACTTCAGACTTCTTTTTCATAAGAAGTGGGTAGGTTATTAACTCCAAACCACTTCCTCAAAATTGGTATTTTGAGAATAGTGATTTGGCTCTTGTTCATTTTTTAAAAATCTGTACCATTAGTGGCAAGTCATCAAGCCCAAGGCTCCAAGCCTGTTTTCTCTTCTATAGCAAAGAGCTTCAGCAGTGTGGGGCTCCTAGGGCTACTCACCCTATCTCCCTCGTAATCCGTGGTCTGCAAATATCCACCTGTTTCCCGTGTTTCTTAGTTCATCTCCTCTCCCTCTCCCTGGTTTTCTGAGTCTTCCTCTTGTACTCCTAATACAAAAAAGCAAGTCCCAGGAGAACCAAGATTCAGTGAGCCTTTTTTTAATCCATTGCCACTTCTCGTAGAGATAAGGCAATGTATAAGAAAACTTGGACTTTTTACAATCAGGAAGATTAATCACTTCACATTTTACCCAACTACAAACAACCTATCAAGAAGTGTGTTTCGTCTAAAAAGTAAAATTGAATGCAACATATTCACAATTTCATGTGTTTTGTTTGTATTATGTATAAAATGAAACAGATGAAACTAAGAAATTATAATGTTAAAAAAAATAAGAAACTATAATGTTTAAAATCAATGTAAAACTAACAGTTTTTCACAGGAACTTGGTTGTATGATTTTTAAAAATTATTTTTTGTTTTTTATTTTTGGTGGTAGGAATTGGACTCAAGGTCTAACATGCTATATGATATTTAAAAAAAATTTTTTTATTTAAAAATTTTTTTATATCTCCC